GAGCCCGGCCAGGCCCGCCAGGCTGTCCCCCGGGAGCCCGGGCGGCTCGCGGGGCCTCAGGCCCTCGCCACTGGAGCTGCAGCGGTCGGAGGGCGGCTCGTTCGGGCACAGTCAGTTGTTGCTGGTTTTGGAAATCTCCCATGAGCCCTACTGTGTGTGCTGGTGTCGGCCCCACCAAGGCTGGGAGAAGGGAACAGGTGGCAAGGGGACGGGGCGGGGGCTGGTGTTTCATTGCAGAAGACCCCACCTGCCCCCCGGGAAGATGGGAGGGCTCGGGGCAGGCAGCCTTGCCTTCTGTCAGCGTGGAGGGTGAGCGGCCCCTTTTTCCAAAGATGACTTTTGACTTTGCCCCTGAGCCAGCCAGAACGGGAGCTGACCTCTGTGCGGGGTTTTGGGGCCGCCTCAAGGCTGCAGGCAGGGGTCATCCACCTGCCCCACCTCAGTTTTCTCTTTGCATCATCCTGGTTTCAGCTTCTTCCCCAGTGTGCCCCTGTCCAGCCAGGGTAACCAGACCGCATGGCCCCAGCCCCTGCCCAACCCTGGACCCGTTAGTCTGCGGAGGGCAGGCCCGGTCTCTGGCTTCCTGGAAGCAGCAGGGGCCCATCCCAGTGTGGGCTCTGCTCACCTCTTAAGGGCAGAGGTCACCACCCAGGAGGCCTGCGGGCATGTGGTGGGAGGAGGGTCACTGCCCAGAGGGTCTTTGGTCAGCCCTGCACAGGGAGGAGGCGGGCGGCGTGGGCACGGGGCCAGGTGGTGGAGGGGCGGGCCACATGCTGGAGCTTTCTGGGCAGAGTCCCCTTTGCTGGCTGCTCTGTCCTGAAGAGTCTTGGAATCAGGTGCCAGCATCCTCGGGCCAGGGCTGGACACCCCTTGGGGACGGCCAGCCCTGTGGTCGTCTTGTTGGGGTGACGGAGCCCTGTCTGGGGGCCCCATCGACTGCCCCACGCAGCCCCGCGCCCGGCCCTGCACGTTTCACCCCCGCAGGCAGGCGCTCTGCCCCCGGAGCGGGGCGCTCTCAGGTGGAACCAGCCTCCTCTGCACTGTAAGCCCTCCCTCTGGTCTGAGTACTTCGCATTTTCACGCCTCACTCCCCGTGAGCCGGGCCTTTGTCAGAAGTGGGGGCCTGAGCTGGGTCGGCAGGGTGGGGTCCCGTCTTAGCCCCCCAGGGGATGCTGTGTCACGCCTGTCTTCCCTCCTGCTGCCCCCAACAGGAGCCCGGGAACAGGGCTGGAGGGCGGGGTTGGAGCTGCCTGCCCCCAGGTCTGTCCCCAGGTGGTGCGGGGGTGCCCCTGGCGGGGCCTTACTGGCCCCAGGCCTCCATGGGGAAGGAAGTGTCCATTCTTTGCCTTCCAGAGTCTGGCCCCAGCTGAGCGTGGGGCACCGTGGCAGAAGGTACGGGGGATACCGCAAACACCTCCTTCCTCTGGCACCCCGCCCTAATAGGCAGGAGAGGCGGTGGCTGCCACACGGGGAGTCCCCGTGCACCATTTGAGGCAGAGATGGGCGTGCCGGGGCCTGCCCATTGTCTCTCCTCCCAAACTGCCCCTGGACGTCTCGGCAGCCCTTGGGGCTTGGTTGTATCAGGCAGAGTGATGCAGGCACCCTTGGGGGTCCCCCTGCTTGTGGGAACGCTGGGCTGCCCCACCCCCGACACCCCTGGTGCCTTCTGCAGCCAGATGCACCCCGCCACCCACGCCCAGCCCCCCACCCCGCTTCCCTGGGCCCCTCAGAAACAGGAACGTGGTGGCTCCAATGGAGAAACCCAGGGTGGGGCCCTCTAGGTGGAGGTCGGCCTCCGGCTGGCTGCCAGCAAAGCACTGAGGCCCCTGGGACAGCCCCTCCCACAGCCAGAGCTCCCAGCCCCTCCGGCCACTCGGTGTCTTGGGCTCCTGGGGCCGCCCTTTCCTCCCTCATCAGCCCGCTGTCACCCTTGCTGTCCCTGCAGTGCTGTTGGAGAGGTGATGTGGGGAGGCTGCACGTTACTCGGTAGAGGCAGCGTTTCTATTTAACCAGACCTGCAGTAGTGTCACCAATCTGGTTCAGTTACGGTGATTTTTTTGTAATTATTATTATTTTTATTATTGTTTCGGTGGGACAATCTTTAATTTTCTAAAGATAGCACTAACATCAGCGTGCTAGCCGTCCTGTGCCCATCCCGCCTTGCCTGCCGGCGTCACCTCCCGCGTTGACATCAGACGGGGCTCCCGCAGCTGTGGAGCGAAGATGACCGCGTCCTGTGGGGGAAGGTGTCGGCTGAGCCAGGCTCGGGCTCGTCCCGCGTCAGGGATCTCCTGGGAAGCCGGCCTGCCTGGGGGCCGCCACCGAGAGGCTCCCGTGTCCGAGATGGCCCTCGTCACCTGGGGGAAGACAGCTCCACGCCCTCGGCTTTCCAAGTCTCGGAGTCCCCAAAGGATTCGGGCTGTCAGGCCGGTAGCAAGAGCTGGAGACCACGCCGGAGCCCCCTTCTCTGCGGGGCTCCCGGGAGGGCCTGGCTGGGGCGCGCGGCCGGTGTCATCAGCTGATGATGTCCCCATCATGGAATGAGGGCGCGTGGCCTGTCCCTGCCCACGCAGGTGTGTGGTGTGAAGCGTGTGTGCTATGCAGGGAGCCTGTGTGCACAGACCCGCACACCATCCACACAGTACATGCTGAGCGGTTTCCAGCATTTCTGTGTTCATTTTTAATTAAGATTTCCCCCCGTTTTCCTATAAATTTCCTTAATGTAAGCAAGTACATAAGGACCCTTCCTTTGGTGAAATCCGGGTTCGAATGAATATCTCAAGGCAAGGACGTGCATCTATTTTAAGATGCTTTGGAGCCAGCAGCTTTAGCAGTTCCCAGCCCTCAGCAGCGCCTTAGCCAGGATGTGTAGCTCACACTCTAGAGAGGAGGCCAGACAGAGAAGAGAGGTGTGTAAAGCATCGGGAAAGGTAGAAAAAAAATCTATTTTTGTACAAATGTAATTTTATCCCTCATGTGTACTTGGAGGGTGTGACGGGGGGCTTGTTTTGTTTCTGCTGTTAGAGATGGAGGTGGAGGCTTTCTCCGCGGATGTCTCGACAGGAGACGCAGCAGAGAGAGGGGCTCCTGGGACTCAGGCTTCGTACGAAACCTCTGCGCATGGGTCTTCTCCCGCTGGGGCGGAGGGTGGGCCTGAAGCTTTCAAGGGTTTTCTTCCCCTTTCGAGTAGTTTTTACGCCTCGCTCTGTTCTGTCCCTGTTGCCAGCTGGCCTTCCCGCGACTCTGACTGTGAAATTACTTCCCTACGTGATTGTTCTCAAAACATCGCGGCCGCAGGTGCCGGGGATTGACGAACAATGGTGTTAGAATTGTGGAAAAGGGAAACGCAGAGAAAAACGTGAGAGGAGAAACGAGCAAAACACGAGTGTTTAAAAACACACCCGTTCAGTTCGCCTCTGTTCCCATGGGGTCTTCCGGGCTCGGTCTGGAAGCCGGCCGCCCTGGACGGGGCGGGTGGCGGAGGGCCTGCTGGCCTCACCCT